AAAAATAAGATTTGATATATGTCTCCATGTGTATAATGTTTATAACTATAAGTAACCTAGTCATTTTGCAATATAACTCAATATAGGATTTTGGCACTTATTCATCGTAACATCTTCATATCTGATTATTTATCTTGAATAGAATTTTACAATGTATATTTCAATCGCATGTTCTTGACATATAAACAGTTCATAGTTGTTTCCAACAAGTTCCATTTGTTTTTTCTCTATAGAAAATAAAAGTATAAGTGACATCACCAAACATTGAATTTTCTTGGTCAATTCTATAATTCCGTAAATCTAGGAGTAGTTTTGTTATGTAGTTTTTATTATTGAATAAGTCTATTATGATATTAAGAAGTAATGGACCACCTAGACTATTTTCAGTTTCATTAACTTTATATAAGGTTTTATATTAGTCAACTTCTCATTCAATAACACAGAGAAAAAGTATTTCTTTCACAGTATCCTATTTATATACCTGATATTCCAACATTCTGGTATAAGAGCTCCATCACGGGGCCTGATCCAAAATAGAAGCAGCAGTCTTCTAAAATAACACGTTATGGCATCTAAAAGCTCATTTGTGCAGCCTGTTATACCCAAGTTTGATGGGTATTATGATCATTAGCCAATGCTCATGAAAAACTTGTGTTCAAAGGAGTGTTGGAGCTTAGTGGGAAATGGAATTCTTGAATCCACAGGAACACCTCTTACCAAAATACAGAGGAAGCATATAGATGATAGAGATTAAAAGATTTGAAGGCAAAAAATTATCTATTTCAAGCATTAGATCATTCAGTTCTAGAGACTATTCTTAAGAAAGACACAACAAAAGATATATGGGATTCTTTAAAGCAAAAATATCAAGGCACTTCACGCGTTAAGAGGCACAGTTGTAAGATCTACGAAAGAAATTTGAAATCCTTCATATGAAAGAAGGAGAATCGGTAAACTAGTATTTTTCTCGAACACTCTCCATAGCCAACAAGATGAAGGCAAATGGTGAAAACAAAGGAGATGTTGTTGTAATTGAAAAAATGATAAGATTCATGACTCCAAAATTTGATTATGTTGTATGTTCCATTGAATAATCCAAAGATATCGATATGTTGACCATTGATGAACTGCAGAGTAGTATGCTTGTCCATGAATTACGCTTGGCTTCTCATGTTGCAAAGGAGTAGACCCTACAAATTGCTCATACAGATCACACTGTAGAATGGGGACTAGGTTGTGGAGGCTTTGGCCACCGAGGAAGAGGACGTGGACGCGGACGCAGCAGAGGTAGATTTGACAAATCCACTATGGAGTGTTATACTTGTCACCAACTCGGACACTTCAGCTTGGAATGTTCAAATCAAAAGAAAGAAGCCAACTATGTAGAGACCAATGCAGAAATGTTATTGATAGTCTACAATGATATAAACAAGACAAATGAAGAAGTTGTTTGGTTTCTTGACTACATGTGTGAAAAAAAGGAGTATTTTTTAGATCTGAATGAAAGTTACAAAGATTATGTCAAATTGGGCAATAATTCTAGCATGGATGTAATTGGCAAAGTTAACATTCGGTTAAATATGAATGATAAAATTTATATTATTATTGGAGTATTTTTTGTGCCTGATTTAAGGAATAACTTGCTAAGTATTTGACAATTACAAGAAAAAGGACTTAGTATTTTATTTCAATATGGAAAGTGCAAAGTATTTCATCCTGAAAGCAGTCTGATCATGAAAACTAGAATATCCTCCAACCGAATGTTCATACTTCATGTCATGCCGCAACTGGTTGAATCCACTTGCTTTCAAATAGTAACCGAGGATAAAATGCATCTTTGGCATTATCGATATGGGCATTTAAATTTTTGGGGTTTACATACATTGGCCCAACACAATATGGTATATGGTTTGCCAATAATGAAGGAACCTAAAAAATTATGCAAGGATTGTTTGGTAGGAAAACAATCTCGTGATTCCTTCCCTAAGTAGAGTACTTGGAGAGCCACACAAGTTCTACAACTAATCCATGCAAACATTTGTGGACCAATCACACCAGTCTCCAATAGCAAAAAGAGGTATTTGTTCACCTTTATTGACGATTTCAGCAGAAAAACTTGGATTTATTTCTTGACAGAAAAATCAAAGGCTCTTTCAGTCTTTAATATTTTTAAGATTCATGTTGAGAAAGAAGTTGATTCATTAATCAAAGGCTTTCGCACTGATCGTGGGGGTGAATTTACACTAAAAGAATTCACCGATTTTTGCTGTGAAAATGGTATTCGTAAGCAACTAACAACTTCATATACACTACAACAGAATGAGATTGTTGAACGAAAGAACAGAACCATTATGAACATGGTTCGGAGCATGCTTTTTGAGAAGAAAATGCCCAAAAATTTTTGGGCTGAAGCTGCAACCTGGTCTGTGCACGTTTTGAACCGATGTCCCACATTAGTTGTGAAAAACAAGATGCCAAGGAAACTTGGAGTGGAGTCAAGCATTCAATTACATATTTTCGAGTTTTTGGGTGTCTTTCTCATGTGCATGTGCCTGATGCTAAGAGAACTAAACTAGACGATAAAAGCTTGTGTTATGTTTTATTGGGTGTCAGTGAAGTATAAAAAACTTACAAACTTTATGATCCAATTTCACATAAGATTATTATAAGTAGGGACATTGTATTTGATGAGGACAAAAGTTGGGATTGGGATAAGAAATATGAAGAAGTCATATTATGTGATTTAGAGTGGGGTGATAAGGATGCGGAAACTCTTACAGAAGAAGAACGCGAAGCTATTACAGTAGAAGAACATGAGGCATGGCAGAATAACACAGATAACCAAAATGAAGAAATTACTTCCTCTGATCCTACAATAGAAGAAAACACTTTCAATCCCGATCAACGAAGGTGTAGAAGACCACCACTTTGGATGGAAGACTATGAAACTAGAGAAGGATTTTCTGAAGGTAATACTAAAGTTAATCTAGCATTGTCTCCTATGTTAGCAGCTGGTGAAAGTGACCCTACTCACTTTGATACTGTAGTTAAAATTGAAAAATGGAGGAAAGCCATGGATAAGGAGATGGAAGTAATAAATAGAAATGACACATGGGAATTAATGGATTTACTGGATGGAGCAAAGAAAGTTGGAGTGAAGTGGATTTATAAAACTAAATTTAAAGAGAATGGAGAGGTAGACAAGTACAAAGCTAGACTTGTAATGAAGGGGTATGCCCAAGAGTATGGGGTAGACTATACTGAAGTATTTGCACTAGTGTATTGCATGGAGACAATCAGGTTAGTTGTAGCACTTGTAACTCAAAAGGGATGGATAATCTATCAACTCGATGTAAAGTCATTCTTACATGGTGAGTTGGATGAAATGGTATATGTGGACCAACCTTGTGGTTATGAAAAAAAGGGAGACGAACATAAAGTGTATAGACTGAAGAAGGTTTTGTACGAACTTAAGCAAGCACCACGTGTTTGGTATAGCCGTATAGAAGCATATTTTTTTAAAGAAGGATTTGACAAGTGTGACTATGAGCATACCTTGTTTGTGAAAAGAGAAAAGGAAGATATAATGTTAATTGTTAGCTTATATGTTGATGATCTTATCTTTACTGGAAATGATGAGGCGATGTTTGAAAGATTTAAAAGTTCCATGAAGCATGAATTTGATATGACAGATCTTGGAAAAATGAAGTATTTTATGGGTCTTGAAGTTGTACAACGATCGGATGACATTTTTTTATGTCAAAAGAACTATGCATTAGAGATGTTGCAAACGTTTGGAATGAATAAAAGCAATTCTATGCAAACTCCAATTGTTCCTGATGCTAAAATCACAAAGGATGAGGTTGGTGTAAAGGTGGATAAGACCTACTATAAATAAATTGTGGGAAGTCTTATATATCTTACATCTACTTGACCTGATATGATGTTTGTGGTGAATTTAATTAGTAGATATATGAAAAATCCCACGGAGTTATATTTAGTAGTAGCTAAAAGAGTGTTGAGATATATAAAGGAAACAATTGGATTTGGAATTTTTTATAAGAAGGGAGGAAACCAATAAATTTTTTGTTATACTAATAATGATTATGCTGAGGACTTGGATGATAGAAAAAATATTTGAGGTTATGTTTTCTTATTAAGTTGAGTTGTTATTTCCTGGTCATAAAAAAATAACCAATTGTAAGTCTATCAACTACAGAAGTTGAGTTTATAGATACAAATGTACTTAGCTATATGGTTAAAAAGAGTGTTGAAAAAGTTGTGCAAAATGCAAAATAAGACTAGTGTAATCCACTCCACTGTGATAATAACTCTTCCATTAACCTTTCAAATAATCCAATAATGCACATTTGTTGCAAAGATATTGAACATTTTCACTTTCTTAAATACTTAACCAAAGCAGAAACTATTAAAATAAAGCATTTTTGGACACAAGAATTAATGACTGATATTATGACAAAACCACTCAATGACTGATATTATGACAAAACCACTCAAGCCGGATAGTTACGTAAAACTAGCTTTCCGCGGGGAATTTGTTAGTAAATTTCATGATTTCGTAAATCTAAGAGCAGTTTTATTATGCAGTTTTTATTATTGAGTAAGTCTATCATGATATTAGGAAGTAATGGACCACCTACGTGGACTATTTTCAATTTCATTAACTTTATGTAAGGCTATATATTAGCCAACTTCTCATTCAATAACACCGAGAAAAAGTATTTCTTTCACAGTACCACCTTTATATGCTTATAGTCCAACAAATTTAACCAACACGAAAACCAGTAAGACACTCGATTACTCCCTATGCATTAAACTTAGCTTTGGCCTTCATATGTTTGATGAAAAAAGTTATGCAGAATGCATGAACAACCGTTTCCAACTTAGTGAAGTGGCTAGAACTACGTGCATAACCATGTATACATTAAACTTAGAAACACGCTCGTTGCAGAATAGGAAGGTGAAAATAGGCCACTATTTCACTCTTTAGAAACACTAAAACTCAGACCAGAGGGGCCTGAGTACGATTCAGAATCTGAACTTGAATACGAGGCCTCATCGCTATCTTCCTCGTCCAAACATTTTGTCAGTGAGGGCCAACAATATTCTAAATTATCTTCAAGATTTACATTGCAATCACACATCTTCCTTTTCCCTGAGTTGTTCCAATGGTTCTTTCTCTTCTTGTTTGGTCTTTCTGGCGATCTTTTAGTATTCAGAGACCACCTATCACCGTATAATAGATTACGTACAAATGAGATAGAAAATGTTGATCTTACAAACTAGTATACAAGTGAAAAGCATAAAGAGAAAGGAAAAGCAGAAAAGAAAACAGAATGAAAGTTTTAACTATGACAGATTGTGCAATGAGAAAAAGATTTGAGCTGAAAGTGAAATGAAAAATAAAAAATCATAATCATAATCATAATCCAAATAAAAACTCACCAACTCATTATCCCTTTTGAAGTATACCCTTAAATTCTTCATTCTTCTTTCATGATTTTAGTTAATTTTCATTTCAGTATTTCGAAATTGGTTAGGATTTATGGAACAGACTTTTCATGTGTTACGTTAAACACGGCAGAAACCAAATCCGTAATTAAATAAAAATTTAGGAAAAGAAAAGTAAAGAAGAAAAGTGTGAGAAAAACAGAGTAAGTTGGGTTTACCCAGTGCCTTGTTGATCCTGAGCACTGTAGATGGAGAAGAGGTAGGAGCATGGGTTGAGTTGGGTGAAGTTAAAACAGCGAGGTGTGATCTGAGTACGCAGAACGAAGCGCAGCAAGGAGTCGTGGTTTTGAAGGGTACACGGACATTCTCCGGGGCCTGAAGGCACAAAGCTAGCAATGATAGCACCTCCACACATGCTTAATACAGAGTACGGTTTGCTAATGGGTTTGCTTCTGCTTCTGGAGATGGTAAATGATGATACTGCAAACAATTGATTAGAAATATAGGTACGTGAATTCGATTAGTTGATATTAGCATTTTTATTGATAAATAATTACTGATTTTATCATGACCGTAATGTGAACATACATCTTATCGTTTGACCTTTGTCGCAATCAATCTTACCTCTGTGGGATATGGATTACAAACTGTGTGCGGGTACATAGAATTTTCACTCTGAATTGCGTTTTAAAATCATACTACATAAAAAAAAAATGATTTTGTTTTGTGCTAACTTTGACGAAGAGGTGCACCACCATCCATTAAAAGTGGTTGAAGTTTGACTATTTGAGAGGTAATTTTTTTTTTTTTAACTTTTTAATTTTTTATTATACATTATATCTGTATTCTTTGGAGGTATTCAATATTCTTTTTCTACTTAATATAAGTATTTTTTTCTCTTTTATTATTATTATTATTTCTCGCATGTATAATATCGTAATAATGATTTTTTTATTATCTCTCTTATTTTAATAGTTATAAAAAATCTATTATATGTGATAAAAAAAATAAAACTATTTTATAAAACCAATTAAAAAATAATCCAATAGGTTTCCTAATTCTTTCTCACTTATATGTTGTAAAATGTGAGACATCATATTTAAAATTATATGTTTTGTTCGGTTTGCTTTAGTATATATTTTTTCAATTGCATGCATTGTTCTTTTCGTATACAATATCATGTTTGTGGTTAATAGACTACAAATTTCTTACACGTATTAAATTACTGATATCAATCACACACATTTACGACTAAGTTCATGTAATACTAAAATTTTTCGCCATTATGAATTTCTTTTACATATCGCCCATCAAATAACCGTCACCAACTATAAATAAAAATCTTATTTGTAATAAATAATTATGAAGATCTTATTTATAGTAAATCAATATAAAGATATGATAAATACCGTGAATATTTATAATCTTTTTATATTTGATTTTGAATTTCAACAAAAATTAATACCCAATCTTCGAAAAATATTTAAAAGACTTAAGAGTAAGTGTTTCCAATTTTTAAAAACAATTATTAGTATTTGACTTTTTAAAAACTCAAATTTCTCTGTTTTGTTAAAACCATTTATTAAAAATATTTTTGTTTTTGATTTTTTATAAACTAAAAAATCAAAACTGATAAAGTAAGTGTTTTTTTTTCATTAATGAATATTTTTTTTCACAGGTAATTGTATTAAATCAATTTTTTTTTAATTTTGGTCACCTTATTTCATGGTCATTTATATTGTTTAAAATAGTTTTTAAAATAAAGATATTAAACATGTTTTTTTCAAACATGATTTCAAAAATAATTTTCAAAATGAATCCATAAATTTATTTTAAAATCTAAAAACTAAATTTAAGTCAAACAAATTAACTTTAATTTAGGTGAATTGCCACTTAATTCAATAAATATATTCATTATAATTTAACAATAAAAAATTGTGACACTACGAAAAAAGATTATCCTTCTCATAACACCAATTATGTGCACTTTATTATTATTGATGATGACGACGACTAACAAGAAAAGAGATTAACCTTGTTGACGTATCTAAGAAGAACCAAAACCAAACACAATTATTTGTACTAGGCCTCCTTATTAGTTCATTTCCTAGAATTTGTAGTTAAGCTTGGTGGTGTGGTCTCAAAATTGAAGATGGAAATAGTTATATAATTTGTGAGGAGTTTACGACTTGATTCGTTAAAAGTTTCAGGATTAGTTTATTAAAAATTTCAGGTTTTAGATTTTTTTTAAAAACAACCTTTCAACTCATTTTTAAAAATAATTTTAAAAAGTTGTCTTTAAAGCTATTTTAAAAAGCTAAACATAAAATTAAATAAAAAAATTACATTTTGTTTCCTTGAATTTCCTTCTCCTCTCGTTGTGATCATCTCATTCATACATATTAATAATACGTTATAAGTTAGTTTCTTCGGAATTTAGTAAAATATAATATAAATCATTTGAGTTGTTTTAATTTAATTAAACAATATAAAATGATTTATTTTTATACTTAATTAATAGGTATAGATTATTTACCTGAAGTAAAAAAATAGAACAAAATTCATCAAATTGCTCCAAAACAAATTCTATCAATTCTTTCAATTGTTGTGTTTTTTTAGAGAAAACATTACAAAAAATCTTTTTCAACAATAGATCATAATCTTTTTATATAGGAGAATCTAACTTTGCATTTAATCTTAAATAACTTTGTATTTAATCTTAAATCTAAAATAAACTCGTGAGGTTTTTTTAATTTATATGTTATTCAAACAACATGTTTACAATTTAACTACCACATTCTCAATGAAATTTATTTTAACAATTTATGTTTTCTTTTATGAACTTTGGTATAATATTAAATTAGGTTAAAAGTATTATCACTTTTCTTCATAGTAGAACCGCATGTGGTCACAAATGATAACTATTGGTTTAATCTCGTATCTTACTTTATTGTTTTTTATTTAAATAAAGTATTAAGAGATTTTATTATCTTTTCAAGAGCGAAGATAAAAAAATATTAGGTTATTATTTTGATTTAGGTAATTAAGATTGAGATATTACAATGATGTGATATTTTATCATATTTTTGCTCTATATATATAGATTCGAGTACATGAATAAAATACATACTCATATGAGATATATTTCATATATCAGAAATACACATATACAAAATCCTAAAATTTCTCATAAGTGGTATCAAATAGTTTTGGTTTTTACGAGAAAATGTAAGAGAAAGAAGTGAAGTTTTTCACAAGTCGCTATTCCAATTTTTGATAGCGAAAATTAGGACCTATGAGTTGTAAGAATGCAATCTTATATTAAAGAATTTGATGTATAGGAAGCTATGGAAGAATATTACATTATTGACTCGCTGTATGAAGATCTCACTATAGCTCAATTAAATTTGAAATTATTTGAAAGATCAATATGAAGGTAACAAGAAAATTTGAGGTATAAAAGTTTAAAACTTGATAAGGAAATTTGAGATGCAAAGGATGCAAGAGTATAAGACAATTAATGAATACTCAAATAAATTGTTAGGTATTGCTAACAAGATAAAACTATTAGGTAAGGAATTTCTTGATTCCAGAATAGTTGAAAATTTTTGATAACTGTGCTAGAGAGATATGAAACATTTATTCCTTCATTGGAAAACACAAAGAAATTGTCTAATATTACTTTGATAGAAGTGTTACATGTTTTACAAGCACAAGAGAAATGAAGATTAATGAGAGGAGATCATGCTACTATTGAAAGTTCGTTACTATATCATAGTGAAGGTTTTCTCTAAGTCAAGAACAATAAAAGTACCAATTCACGTGTCTTTTCTATTTGTTCTTATTGTAAAAAAAATTAATCACTCACACAACAAATGTTAGTGGAGACCTAATGTGAAATATAGCAAATGTGGTCAATTGGGACATATAACAAAGATATGTAAATCACAACCAAAAGAAGTCGTAAGGTTATAGAGGATGAAGTATAAAAGAAACTTCTTTTTACGTCAATATGCTCTACAATCAACAAATCCACAGATTGTCTTATAGACAGTGGTTGTACAAACCACATGACTTCTTATGATCGAGAACTTTTAGTTAAAAATGTGAAAGATACATGAACAATTACAGTTAAAAATCATTCGAGTATCGAATTCATTTTTTATGTTTTATATGTTCCCGATATTAATTATAATTTGGTAAATGTTGCTCAATTAATTGATAAAAGTTAACACAAACTTTGTGTGATTAAAGATACAAATAACGTAGAAATATTTAAAGTTTACATGAAAGGAAAAAGTTTCACTTTAGATTTAATGAAAGAAGGGTTGATTACAAACGAGAATATAAAAGAAAAGAAAAAAACATGATAAATATTTCTTGAAGAAACTTGATGTTAAGGAGGAAAATAAAGATGTAAATGAAGAAATCGTTTTTAACTTAATAAAGAAAGAAATACTTTGATAAAGGAAGTGAAATTGAAATAATATGTGATCTTATATAAGAAAGAAGATGACAAAAAATATAAATAAAAAATGAGGAAAAATTTCAAGCAAAATAAAAAAAATATTATTTTATTATTTTTTATTTAAATTATGTATTAAGAGATTTTATTATTTTTTTAAGAAAGAAGAAAATATATTAGGTTATTATTTTGATTTAAACAGTTATGATTGAGATATTAGTATGCTTTAATATTTTATCATATTTCATAAGATATATTTTATACATCAGAAATCCACATATACAAAACTCTAAAAATTTCCAAATTTTTTACTAGCTGAGTTAATGAATTAAACAATATTATAATATTAGAGATTTTTTTTAATAGATGTTATTAAAATACTATATATTGAAATTAAAATTACTTAAATCTTCTTTGATAATAATTATGCTAGAAAAAAAACATGACCGAACTAACCTTTTTATATTGAAAATGAAATGTTAAAAATATTTATTATAAGATTTCAATTTTGAATCAGAGAAATAAAATAAAAACTAACAAAATTTGAATATAGAAATATTACTTTTTCACAAGTGGTGATTTTGTTTTGAAACTTCCACATTGCTTCCCAAATTTTTTTACAAACATTTAAGTTCACATCTTATGTGGAGTTACAAATTAAAAAGGTTCAGAGCCTAACAAAAAAATCTACATGCATGAAAACTGCACAGAAATCCAAGTCATAAACTAGCTAATTCCTGCTTGTTAGAAGCTATAAACAATGGCTTCTAAGTAAATTGGACTAACTCTCGTACTTGGTTGTAGATTAATAACTGGATGGTGTATCACAATGACAAAGATGAAGAATCCCAAAGCACATTTGACTTCCATGCATCGCTTATATTGAACGGCATAGTACTGAATGGAAACCCAATGGGTCGCACTGTCTCCGATTGTTGGTCACCAACACGATGCACGTTCACATGAGGAATCTTTACCAGTACATTTTCATCGTGGTTGCCAAAGGTCCCTTGCATGTCACGTAGTAGTGGTATGTGGTAGCTGTTACAATGCTCCTGTAACTCACCAAAGTTTGTGCTCATTCCTTCAGAGGTTTTCCTATTAAATTCTCCAAGCACGGAAGATGAGGTACTCAATAGCAACGAAGAGACATCCATTGAAGATTTTGCACTGTTTGTTGAAGTTTCAAGAGGAGATGAGAATATTAAGCCAGTGCTAAGGTCTCCATTTGAAATGGGTAACAGATCTAAGGGCTTGTGAAGCATTAATGGATTGATAATTGATTTGTTATAAGAAGCTAGAATATCTATAGGGCAAGGGGTACTACTAGTAGTGGTTGAGTGTTGTGTGTCATTGTGATTAAAAGTACAAAACTGGCTAACTAAGCTAGTTTTCTTTGTCAATGGCATGTTTGTTGTAGAAATTTGGTTGCCATATCTATCAGCGGCTAGCATATGATCTGAAGTGGTGGATTCAGGTAAGGGTGAGACCCAAGAATGAGAGAGAGCTCGTTGAGCTGTAGCATTGGTTTTCTTGAAGATCCTGCAGATTGCCCAGGACTCCTGCAAGTTCAAAAACAAGTTAACTTTAACAATAGTAAGTCAAATAAAGATACTAATTGCAACCAGGAAAAACATTGTCTTCAATCGTTTTTCCTTTATCATTTCTACTACATCCCTTGTCGAATATCCAATCGATTAACACATGGGAAAACAAGACTACAGTTTTATAAACATAAATCTTACTTTAATTCTTCATTTTACTCGCTTGATTGTTTCTTATTTTCTCATCATACCACTTATTAGGACATGAAAGGTTGTTTTTGAAGTATTCCTTTAAGAAGTTTTACTCACGTTAGCAGGAATGGTCTTGTCAATGAACTTCTTCGGGGATGAGGATGGGTTAGTGAGAGAAGGTAGTCTAAACTCATGCATCATCCAATCAGTTTTAATCCCTTTGGCAGCTCTACCTTTGTAGAACACTAGAGATTTCTTCAGACCAATACACTTGGAACCCTCCGAGGAATATATAGGGCGATCCGTACCCGTAGCCTTCCAGAACCCAGCTCCAGTTACCCTATTAGGCCTTGCACTGTTCCTGTACTTTCTGTCTCTGGGGCAGTAGAAATACCACTCTTTCTCCCCAGTGGTGGCGAACTCTTCACATCACAACAATATAAAAAATAAAAAGTTTGTTAGATACTTAGATAAACTTAAATGGGTACTACATAATTATACATGAATCAAGCCAGTGTGTGTTCTCTTACTTGGAAGATCCCAAGGATCATACTTGTAGATATCAAGCTGCTTGATGAGCTCAATAGAAAGAGGCTTCTGTTGAACCTTTCTCTTCAGGTAAAATCCAACAAGCTCCTCGTCTGTTGGATGAAACCTGAAACCTGGTAGCATAACCTCATCTAGTTTCTCACCGTTCTCATTTCTTTCTTCCATGTCTTAAACTATTTTTCTCTAATAGCAAATTAAGTCTAATCTCTGTTCAATGCAAGAAAAAGAGAGACCCTTGCCGTGGCTCCTATAAGATTTAACCAAAACTCGTGAAAAGGACAAGAAGATGAAAAGAGTTTAAGGCTTTGAACTAACTAACCCTAAAAGAAGTGCATTAATTTGAGTGTCGTTTGAGAAGAGTTGAAAAACAAAGAGGAGGAAAGTGAGAGTGAAGTTCACTCAATGTGAAGAAGCCATTATATGCTTCCTGAGAAGGGATCTGCCTCCGAAGGTTCAGCCACCTTTTGTGGTGACGTTTAAAGGAGTGCGTGTTTTGCGAGGTTTGGTTTAGCTCATATATGCATAAGAAGAAGAAGCAAAGAGCAAGGCTCTTAAAAAGAGAACAACGTACTATACCAAGAAAACAAATCTAAGTCATGGAGATTTTGTGATTTTTATAAGAACCATCTTTTTTCTGTGATTTGTTTACGACCAAAAAGTTGGAATCTCAATAAACCACCAAATTAGCAGCATTAAGGGATTATGATCAAATACAATTTCAACATATTAATCTCATGAAAGTTTTGGCTTATCCGCCACAAGCCAAGACAGAGCAAAGTTCCAAGAAAATGATATATTTTATGCATAGTGTTTGTAACTTTTGAAATATCAATTGGAAACGTGGACCAGAACCAGATTCCAAAACACAGCTCAAATATATAACTCGACCCACCTAGGATTATATTATTGATTTCAAGGTTCCTCAGAGTCCGAAAATCCCGTTTCTATTCCATTCCCCAGAGCTTCTATTCCACTGGTTTTGTCAGGATGAAAAGGTTTAAAACTAATTAACCATTATTTCGATCGAGTCAAATTTCAGATAACAACAAACGGACGTGTGATCAAAGTCTAATGTGGTTGAGGACACCGCTTCAATAAATTATTATTATTATTGTAAGTACATATATGTGTTTGCCACCAATTTATCTAATGTCAGAACTGTTAACTTAGAACTGGAACATGGTGCTTCATCCTATTTACCCTATTTCTCTCACCTTTCTTCTCCATTAAACAAAAACTTATTTATACCTTTTTCAAATGCTATTTATGCTATCAAGATGTTTAATTTCCTTAGCCTTGTTAATAAATTATTTCATTTTGAAACCGAATATTTTCTTCATGACTTCTGAAATTGAAAAAATGATTATTTGATGAACTAATAGGTTAATACTTTTTATTTATCAAAACGGGTGATACCTTGACACGAATATGTTAGGTAAACAAATGCATGTAGTTGAGAGGTAGTAGTTATAGAGGTAGTAGTTGAGAGATAGTAGTTGTATTGAATGTATGTAGTTGAGAGATAGTGGTTGTATTGAATGTATGTAGTTGAAAGGTAGTAGTTGTATTAAATGCATATAGTTGAGAGGCCATATCCAAAGGCCTATAAATTGATCATGTATCACTCATTACAAATACATCAAGTGATAATACACAAAGTGTTTTATTTAGATACTTGTTTGTCAACAAATTGGCATCAGAGCTTGAGAGTCTGAGTGTCTGAGTGTGTTAGAGAGAGTGTTTGAGAGTTGGAGAGTTTGTTCGAGATGACCAACTTAGCTAACAGCATGCCCCTGCCAAAGTTATCAAAAGGCGTAATCTATGATAACTGGAGTCTGCAAATGAAGGCTCTCCTTGGTTCCCAAGAAGTATGGGATGTGGTCGAAAATGGGCACCAAGAACCAAAGAATATTAAAGAGTAGACGATTGTTCAGCTTGCTGCATTGAGAGCAACACGAGTAAATGACAAAACGGCTTTGTACGTAGTATACCGAGCTGTTGATGAGTCCGGCTTTGAGAAGATAGCAAATGTTAAATCTTCAAAAGAAGCGTGGGATATTTTGGAGAAAGCATAAAAAGGGGATAATCGCGTGAAGCAAGTCAGACTTCAAACTCTTAGAGGCGAGCTTGAAAGCATGAGGATGAAAGAGGTCGAAGGGGTTGCCAAGTACATCTCCCGTGTTGAGACCGTGGTGAATCAACTCGGAAGAAATGGAGAGACGCTGCCCACTTGCCGAGTGGTGGAGAAAATCTTAAGGTCGTTAACTGACGACTTTGATAATATCGTTTGTGCAATAGAAGAGTCCAAAGGCTTGTCGATGCTCTCGGTGGAAGAGTTTGCCGGGTCGCTTGAAGCGCATGAGCAGCGGAGAAGGAAGAAGAAAGAGGAGTCCCTTGATCAAGCACTCCAAGCAAAGGAAACCTTAAAGGAGAAGAAGGTTCCTTATGCTCAGAACACTCAAGGCCGAGGTGGTAGAGGCAGAGGAGAATATGAAAGAGGCAAGGAGCAAGTCAGTCAACAAAACTGGCGTGGCCGAAGACAAGGTAGAGGTCGTGATGGTAGAGACCGAGGTGGTCAGTCAAGCAATTCCGGAGTTGAGTGCTTCAAATGTGGGAAGTACGGTCATTTTGCTAAGGACTGTTATTCAGGTATCAAATGTTATAATTGTGGGAAGGTTGGACATTTCGCGAAGGACTGCCGATCTGAGAGGAAGAAGGATGTCGAGCTAAGTCCGAGTTGTTCTGACAACTCGGTTTGGTATCTTGATACAGGAGCAACTAACCACATGTGCGGGGATAAGAACCTTTTTAAGGAGCTCACTAAAGTTGAGACCGGACACGTGTCATTTGGAGATGCATCAAAGGTGGCAGTAAAAGGCAGAGGTACAATCTGGTACCTGCAGAAGAATAGCCGAGTTGGAGAAATCAGAGACGTGTACTATGTACCCGATCTCAAAAGCAACATATTGAGCATGGGCCAGTTGATGGAGAAAGGCTACTCGGTTCTGATGAAAGACCGAGTACTATACCTGAAGGACAAGTCGGATCGTTTGATTGCTCGAGTAGAAATGAAGAAGAACAGAATCTACAAGCTGAACTTGAAGATAGTCCAAGAGAGGTGCTTGAAACTTGACGTGAAGGATGAAGCAATGATGTGACACTTTCAGTTTGGCCACTTGCATTTTGGCGGGCTGACCGAGTTGGTAAAGAAAGAGATGGTGCGAGGACTCTCGTCTATGGAATTTGAAAAGAAATTATGTGAAGAGTGTGTGCTCGAGAAGCATCCGAAGACCTCATTTCCGAGGACGGCCGAGTACCGTGCAAAGGAACAACTCGGATTGATTCACACAGATCTTTGGGGACCGATTACCCCTGAGTCCTTCAGTGGGAAAATGTATTTCATTTCTTTTATAGATTATTTTTCAAGAAAAACTTGGGTATATTTTTTGAAGGAGAAATCCGAGGTGTTTGAGGTGTTCAAGAGATTTAAAGCAATGGTTGAGAAAGAGACTGACATGCCTATCAAATCTGTTAGGTATGATCGAGGAGGCGAGTTCATTTCATTCGAACTCATGAAGTATTGCGAGGAGCAAGGGATAAGGAGATTTCTGACAGCACCATACTCACCCCAACAAAACGGAGTTACCGAGAGGAAGAACCGAACCATTCTTGACATGGTTCGAACAATGTTGAGAAGCAAAAACGTGTCAAAGGAGTTTTGGGCAGAAGCAGTGCAATGTGTCATCTATGTGCAAAACAGATGTCCACATGCTAAGCTGAACGAGAAGACACCGCAAGAAGTTTGGAGTGGAAGAAAACCGAGTGTGTCTCACCTTAAAGTGTTCAGTAGCATAGCTTATGGTCATGTTCTAGCTCAATAGAGGACCAAGCTCCAAGATAGAAGTAAAAAGTATGTGTTTATTGGGTATGATGAAAAAATCAAGGCGTATAGGTTGTTTAACCCAATAACTAAGAAGGTCATCATGAGCCGAGATGTTCAAATTGATGAAGAAAGTGAGTGGAGTTGGAACAACCCGGAGAAGGAGTCCATAGGAAGTAAAAGCTCGGAAGTTGATACACCATATACTGTGAGAGATCATGAGACTTCTGATGAAGAAGATGAACCTCTACAACCCAGAGCGCGAAGTTTACAAGATATATACAACTCTACTGACGAAGTGCATGTTGTATGTCTCTTGGCAGATTCAGAAGACTTAAGTTTTGAAGAGGCCGTGCAGGAGAAAAGGTGGAAAAAGGAAATGGACGAGGAGATCGAGGCAATAGAATGCAACAACACATGGGAGCTGACTGATTTGCCCAAAGGAACGCGGCCTATTGGCGTAAAGTGGGTGTACAAGAAGAAGACAAATGCTGAAGGAGAAGTTGAGTGATATAAAGCTCGACTCGTAGTGAAGGGGTACAAGCAGAAGGAAGGAATAGACTATGATGAAGTATTCGCGCCCAGTGACGAGAATGAAAACAATTAGGCTGCTGATTTCCTTAGCAGCTAAACACAGATGGACAATCTTGCAGATGGACGTGAAGTCGGCATTTCTGAATGGAATCTTGGAGGAGGAAGTATATGTTGAACAGTCACTCGGATACATGCGAAGAGGCGAAGAGAAGAAAGTGCTGAGATTGAAGAAGACACTTTATGGCTTGAAACAAGCTCCACGAGCATGGAATGAAAGAATTGACACTTACTTCAAAAGGAATGGATATGAACAGTGTCTTTATGAACATGCTCTATGCATAAAGAAGAAAGGAGAAGATGTGATGTTTGTTGCCCTATATGTTGATGATCTTATCTTCATGGGGAATAATATCAAGTTGATTGAAGAGTTTAAAGAAGTGATGAAGAAGGAGTTTGAGATGACTGACTTGGGTCCTATGAAGTATTTCCTTGGTTTAGAAGTTGTTCAAGGAAAGAATGACATCTTTGTATCGCAGGAAAGGTATGCTGAGGAGATCTTGAAGAAGTTTAAGATGACAAGTTGCAACCCGGTTTCCACCCCTATGGAACTTGGTACAAAACTTTCTAAGTATGCAGATGGAGACTGAATTGATGCGAGCAAATACCGAAGTCTGATTGGAAGTCTTAGGCATCTTACAAATACCAGACCAGATTTAATGCTAAGTGTTGGAATAGCAGGAGCCAAGTATGCATTGGAAGGCACTAAAGAGAATTCTAAGGTATGTGAGAGGAACAGTGTCACTTGGCCTAATGTATACTAGGACGGATGATTATCGACTAGTAGGCTACTCGGATAGTGACTGGTGTGGAGATGTTGATGACCGAAAAAGCACGTCTGGATATGTATTCTTCATGGGAAACACAGCATTCACCTGGCTTTCAAAAAAGCAGCCCATTGTAACGTTGTCAACTTGTGAAGCCGAGTACGTTGCAGCATCCTGGAGTGTCTGTCATGCAGTTTGGCTTAGAAACCTTCTAAGCAAGCTGGAGTTGAAGCAAGAAAAAGGGACTGTGATTCGAGTTGATAACAAGTCGGTCATTAAATTGGCAAAGAACCCGGTCAATCATGAGAGAAGCAAGCATATTGATGTTCGGTTTCACTTCATCCGAGAACAAGTGAAAGAAGGAAATGTAGAGTTAGAGCACGTCGGAACCCGAGCACAAGCTGCAGATATGTTCACGAAGCCACTGCCAACCACTCTGTTCGAGAACAGCAAGAAGATGATTGGAATGAAGGACAAGAAAAATATTTAAGTTTATGGGGGGATTTTGTTAAGTAAACATTAAATGTATGTAGTTGAGAGGTAGTGGTTATAGAGGTAGTAGTTGAGAGATAGTAGTTGTATTGAATGTATGTAGTTGAGAGATAGTGGTTGTATTGAATGTATGTAGTTGAAAGGTAATAGTTGTATTAAATGCATGTAGTTGAGAGGTCATATCCAAAGGTCTATAAATTGATCATGTATCACTCATTACAAATACATCAAGTGATAATATATAGAGTGTTTTATTTAGATACTTGTTTGTCAACAGAATATACATATTTTTTTTTTCTTCAGTCAGTGTAAAATACAATAGCCAATACATATTTATAGCCTTGGTGTTGTATATAGTAGACTATATAAGAAATTGGGAAGAAAAGAATTGGGGGAGTATTATGGTTTTGAAAATTAGAATAAATTGTGAAACATACTTTTAATCCATACTATAGAAACATATTTTAATCCACAAAATCACGTCAAATTGGTGTAAAACAGGGAAGCTTATGGAAATTAAGTAAATTCATGTTTGAAAATACACTTTTTAGTTCACAAAATCGCGTCAAATTGATTTAAAATATAACAAACTAAAACTAGTAACTTTTGTGGGGATACGATAAACCATCTGGTGATTAATTGAAAATCCAAAGCTAAAATTTAGAAATACTTTTCTTATTTCTAAACTAAGTCAAATCATATTTTTAGATGATTATCGAGAATAAAAAAATGATACTTTTACAACGCAAATTTATATAACTTTTAAAAATAATTCACTTTTAATATTATGATAATAATTTTAATTTATTTTTATTAATTTTTGTTACCATTATTATATTAATAAAAAGGATTCTAGGAAGAGTTATTTGGAATGGAAATGTCAAAATATCATTACTAACCGAGAATAGAGTTAAAATTCATTCAAAATTTTTTATAAAAGATAAGAGAGTAGGAGAAGATCCACATGAAAAAAAATAATACTTAATATTACTGTGTGAAGAGAATAATCAAAAAATATTTGATCATAATTAATAAAACTTATTGTTGGCACACCTATTAGATACAGACAATGACTTATCTAGGAAAAAAATGATTGACTTAAAAAAGTTAAGACAATAAATGACCAACAAAGTTAAGAACCATCCCAACTTAAAATAAAAATCATTAAATCGAGTAGGTAATAAAGTTTTTACGAAAATATCAACTTATTATAATTGTGAAGAGATAGGGAAAAGTTTTGAGTCCATTGTGGGTTTACCAAAAGCGTACGATCCAAAAGATGATGAATTTCAGGAAATATATTCCAAGAATTTTCTAGAATTTTCAGAAATTTTTTGTAAATTTTTCAAAAATGTTTTAGAATCACTTTTCTAAAATATTTATAGAAATTTGATTAAAAAACGTTTTTGGAAAGTTTTCAAAGGACAATCGAAAATTTTTCATTAACAAACTTTCATGAACCTATTTATATCATGGATAATATTGTTATTTTAGATAAATATGGGTTGTAGACAAAAAGTATGGGAGTATATGAGCCTTTCTAAATGTTTGGTCCACCTCTATCAGAATTTTATTTTGTGCCTCCAACTTTCAAACATTCGATAACCACCATTTTTGTGTTGTTTTTTGCCCATCTCAATTGAGTTCAAGAGACACCTCCGATTATATTTAGAATAATTTAAATTCTCCATCAACATACATCTTCTCATCCTCCTTCTTTGTATAGTGAGTATTGAAAAGTAGTAAGATCTGATATTACTATTTTACCTATTTGATTTATTTTATGAGAATTTAGGACTACGTAGGTAAATAAAGTCAATTTATTCATCCCATTAAATTTTTGGGATATACCTCGAATTCTACAACGAACTTTTCGAAATATAATAAATTCATTCAAAAAATCCATTCAAAATGAATAAAAGATGTCCCCAAAAGGGTGAAAAAGTTCAAGCCAATTTACTACCCTAATACCATACCACTAGGGCCTGTTATAGGTTACCTAATAGGACATAATGTTTTTACCCAATATCAACACCTCAAAAAAATAGGAGTTTTTCATAAACTAGTATGCAAAAGCATCATATATGCAACATTTTCAACACACCTAAATGGGAGGAGTAGACAAAAACCGCTTAAGAAAACAAAACTATAAAGGTAAACTGAAAAGTTGTAAAAACAACACCTTATAGCTGATAATGAATTAGAAGAAGAAATTGAATGCACAATCATAAAAACAATGTGATGTGCAAATAATATTTTCTTACTTCACTGTTTAAAACAAGAATCTGAATATGTTTTACAACAGGACAAAGGAACAGATAAACAGAGAAATGGACGTGTATTCTATACTGTACATGATGCTCCACACCCATACAAGGGAGAGAATGTTTCCATCAAGTTGCCTGCAACAATTCTCTGATATCGTACCCTTGAACCTACATATACGAACAACAGAAGAAGCATTCTTAATATTGAATAAAAGATGATTGTAAAAACTAAGAAAATTTGCAAACACTGAGTTATAATTAATACCTGCAGAAAAGTAAGAAATAGTATCACTCCTGAATTCCAAAAGGCATGGATAGTGATGGGAGTGAGAAGGTTGTGAGTTTGAGCGTAAGAAAACCCCAAAGCAGTTCCTACGCATGACACAAATTTCTGTTATTTTCTTCACAGTAGGTTGAGGAACAATTGAATATTTCAAGAGAAAGTAGATGTTTCTATTTTCATTTCTTTTTTCTACAAATAACTAATTACATAAATGTTTTCACTTTGTTTTATATTTTAAATATTTTACCTAGAACAAACAACTGCGGAAATTCTCCAGGAGTGAGATGTGCGAGGGAAAACACAGTGGCGCTAATGACAACAGCAACTGGCGTAGGAACCCTACAGTGAAAGTGGTGAATGAGAAAAAATGCACCAGTAAAATCAATTCACAAAACATACTTAAACAACTGAGTTGAGGCATCAATCGTGCATCTCAGTTACCTAAATCTACACATTTTGCATACAAGCATATTCACAGATATAGACTATTTTTCACAAATACAAAGAAAGAATAAGAGAAAGTTCAAGTTTTGATTTAGCCCAACATTGCTAATTCAAATAACTCGGTCCAACACACTACTAGTTTACACATAAAATAAAAACAAAAAACCAAAATTTGACCTTATCAAGATACTGTTCTTAGAAATGTTCAGAGTCCTTAAGTAACCATTTTTCTTCAAGATCACTACTCACTTGTACATGCATGCACAAAGCAATAAATTTCCCTCAACTGAAGATCCACTGAAGAATACAAAGCATACTTTAAACATATATTAAAATATTGATCATGTTGGGTGTAGTTATATTTTTAATATATTTATTAACAGGTATCTTAACCTTTTCAGGTCATCTAGGCAAGAACTAAGGTCCAGAGAAAACTAAATTAAACTTTAGAATATAATGATGAAATTAGGGATGTGTAGCCGGACCCATCTGACTCATTTAAGTTCCAGCAGGTTACGTCTGAGCTTTAAATGAGCCAGATAAATAAGGTCTACAAAATAAATGTTTTTTTTTTCTAGGTCTATATCTGACCCATGAAAGTCTGTAAATATTCAGACCGGTTCATTGGCCTAAATCGTAATCCAAAAATAATGAAAAATCTAATTTTAAAGAAATTTAGTTATTTTTCATTTCATTTGTTAAGATAAAATATGTTAAACTAAGATCTAGCAAATTAAAAACTATCTATCATGCTAAAACTTCTCAAACTAAAATCTACAAATCAAATGAAATTCTTTTTTTCAGTTGTTTACTCGTGTAACTTTTCTGTCTAAAATGTTGCAGTTTCAAATCTGCAAGTTAACCCGTAGATTAAACCAGCAAAGTCTACATATTCAACAGACCGGACCAGAAAATTGCTATAATTAAGCAGATTTAATAATACAGGGTCTGTTACCCAAGAAGTCCATGGGCTTAATGGACCGATCCGAGGACATGGGTCCATGTACCCACGCCTAGATGAAACTATTTGTCACGTTCAAAATATTTTCTTCTCACATGTCATACTGCTGTTCTCTTCTTTCTTTCCAAGTATCCCTCTTTCATTGTCTAGCTCTGGAGTCTACTAGTCTCATTTTAGAAACCTCCGTATTCTCTTATGTAAACAGAATTTTGAAAAAATCATGTTTGTGAATGAATGAGTAGTGCATTAGTTAGAGTTTTATGAAATTGGACCTTAAAAATATCTAACCAACCCTCCCCAGTCCTCACTATATATAGATAAAATCTCTTGAAGGTGAAATTCCATATATTAAAGTTCAGCAAGTTGATTGAAGAACTAACACCTAAATTATGAGTCCAAATACACCAGTATGGTCAGAAACTTAAATGTAATGAAAAATAAAAACTGGCTGGTAAAATGCAAAATTAACTATACATTCTAATCAACTTTTCCTTTTTTCAAGGATAAGCTAACAACAGCGTAGCTGAAGCTGCACTTGTTGAAACCTTCTGTGTAACTGTGTTCAATTATCTTGCCATTGTACATATTCAAAATGAAAAATGTTGCACTTTCAAGCAAGCTGTAGTTTCATTAACATGTGTTATTATGATATATGTAAATGAAAGAACAGTAAAATCAAAAACGGAGAAAAAAAGCTTGATCATCAAATCAACGGATCTCAAATAGAAAGGAAAAGATATGAAGGCAACCAATACCACTTAGTCAGAGAAGTCATAAAAAATCCTCGAAATACAGTTTCTTCAAGGAGTGGAGCAAGAACACCTGTGATGCCCACCAAGCAGGCAGTACTACAATGAAAATAAACACAATCAATCACTAGCTTGCGAATCTAGGATACAGAACCTTCATGGAAACTTTTGACCAATTCCTGCCATTAATAAAAGGAGTACTATGATTTGAAATTACAGTCCATGACTGCAATTATCACCACAATGTTGTGGTTTTAGATACCTCTGCAACTGCAATTTGGATGCATAAGCCATATTTTACTGCAAATGTCTGCATTTTCTGTAATCAAAGCATAACTAAAGCTGCAACATCAATTTAAAATAAGGGAATAGAATATGAATATCTGATATTACCTGAGATTTGAAGATCCAATTAATGGAAGCAATCGAACAAGAGCGTCAGTCTGAAAAGCAGTTTATAGAAGCATTTAATAGATACCCACATGGTTTTAAGTCCACAATAATTAAACACTATTATATAAAGCAAACTTCAACAGAACAAAGATAACTCCAATTAAGAAGACATATTAGTTCTGCTAAGATACATAAAGAAGATAATGTGATCTGCCCCTAGTTAGCTACGAGGATCCATACCATGATGGTAAGTCGGCAACATATTAGAAACAACAGTTATGTAATTCTAAGATCAGTGGTTCAATACTTGAGCTATTTCAAAATAAAAGACCCTAAATTGCCTCCTCCCATGCTACAAAAAAAAATAGTTTAACACGTAGAATCTAATAATTACATCTGCATCTGCCAGTAAAATTTGAAAAATAGAGTATAAACCTCTCTTTGTGGGGTTTCTCCACTGAAGAAAGACACAGCAACTCCTGTCAATGCAATGGCAATAATGGCACCAACAAGTCCAACTCCAGCCCACAAAAGCCAACCCTTTTCAAGATTGAAAGGTTCCCTCAAATCTGAAACAATGTTTTTACCATTGAATGGAAAAAACATCAGTGCATAACATGTTCTAATTCTTCTAAATAGAAGCCAATTGCAAACTGAATATCAGATTAAAATGAGATTTAAAACAACATGACGCAACAAGGTGGAGATACATCATGTTCATCAAGGCACAAGCTGGTTTGTATAGGTGGCAGTGAACCTCTTTAAATTACTCATACTTTCACAAGTCTTGAGGTTTGATACTAGTCATTAATATACACATTGAAGAATAACTCTGGCATGAGCACAGTGTCTATAAGTGCAGTTAATTAACAGCTCTAGATGTATTAAAATAATAATCCAGCTTGTATTGAAATTCATGCTGAAGTTACTTAATATTATTTTGAGCTCTAGATTGGTTGTGCCTATAGGCACTATACTCAGCCTCACACAAATACAGCTCACATTAGAAACCTTTTGCCTATATCCTAGATATAACAGAAAGGTTCTTAAATGATAATACCGTATTTGAAGAAGTCTTCAGGAAGTGGCTGGAAAGTGTTGGCAACACTAAATATGATTCCAAGTACAACAGCAGTTGTGATGCTGCCATGAAAAATAATAGAATAAAATAAGAAAGTAATCCAAAACTTTATGTACTTTGCCTTTAACACCAGAAAGAAAATTGGAATAATTATTAGGTACAGATGGTAGAAAGACCAAAGGTGTTTCATACTTTTATCATTGATCTAGAATTTGGGAATAAAACCTAAGTCATTCTTACAAATCGACTTCCAAAGTAAAATTTATTCGAGTTTTATATATTTGTTGTAGATGTGAAACTAAGCCACTTTTTAGTTGCAATTAAGGCAAGCCAGGGGTCATCGCAATTAAGGTGGCCTACCAACACTCCCCCAACTAGGGTTGCCAAAGCATGACAAATGCCAATGGCCCAATGATGAATCTAGAATAGGCTTTGATACATCATATAATTTGGGCTTTGGACCTAATTTCAACCCCTACAGAATCAATTTGTTAGGTGAAGATTGGCCAAGCTTAATAAGATTTAAATCATATTTTTGGTGTGGGCCTAAACCCCCACCCTTGAGCTACAATTAAGGCAGCCCACAAAGAAGTCACAACTAAGGTAGGGCTAGGGGTGACTGCAACTAAGGTGGCTTCCCAACAATATTAGCCTAGGAAATAGAATTTTTAGTTTCGCAGGAATCTGAGATTGGGAAAGTATGTTTCTCATGTTTGGTTTACCTTTTAACAAATAACATCCTCAGGAAACAGAAACGATTTTTAGCCATGTTTCTCATAAAAACATTTTCATGGAGGAGGTTTTTCCCAACTTAAATAAAATTTTATTAAAAAAAATACCTTATTACTCAGTAATTCGTTTTCTGTGGTAACAACTTAAAGATTTTAATGAAAAACATATTATTCTTTGATTTCTAACATAATTATATAAATATCCCACCAATAATTTTACTAACCAAACATACTTTAGACATTCCTAGAATAATTCTCAAGATTCACAATTCCCGGAAATCATGATTTCCTAAACCTTCTCTCCTCCTTTTCTATATCTCCCTCTCTAAAATTCAACATAAGCAGTTACGAAGTTAGCATCCAAAATATTTCACATGGATACAAGTTTTGAGCAACAAGTAATCAAAGGATGACAGCTTAAAATCCTAATGCGTATCACTCACTTCCATGAACATCATGAAATCTTGCTATATAAAATGTGGCTTCACATCTTGTTAGAAAGTCAATGACTGATCCAAAATAAATCAGAAGCAAAAATGTGGAAGTAGTTTCACAATTTACCAACCAACTTCAAGAATTACAAAGATAAGAGAGTCCAAAGGAATAGCATACCCCTGATCTAACAAAAGTATCTCTGCCTTGTCATCTAAACTGAGCACATCTGGTTTGATCCCTAGATATGGGAGAGCAATTGCTTCAGTCAAACCTGTCAACACAAAGCTGCCAGGGAATAAATTAATGGCCCAACATATAACACAAACAGTAACATAGAGATCAATTATAACATGTAAACCAATTGACAGTATAGGTAAGAAGTCCCCAGATGCCATCTTCTAAGTAGATTTGCATTCTTTCAAGTTTGATATAAAATGATAACAGCTATTCAAAACACACCCCAATCCACAAGCAAGAGAGGTCAATGAAACTGTTTGCCATTGCCAAGGCACCTCCCATCGCCTGAGAATTGGCCATTCCAATCCCGATTCCTGAAAAACGAACAAAGAAATAAAGCAATACAAAATTTATACATTTTTTTTATAAAGAATTTTATTAGAATGCACTGACAATATAAAAGCTGCTTACATTATCAATCAATAGTACATCGCCAATGAATGGTAAGATTACTGACCCTATGTAATAATCACTGAAAATTATATCTTGGAGAGATTTCTAATTGATTGACTGTACAAAAAATCTTTATAAACAATGTACGAAATCAAATTGTTTCATATATTATTGTAAACAAAAACGACCTCTAACTCGTAGGTTGTCACTGAAGTACACTAAGTCATGCAAAGTGAATCATATTATCATAGTAAATTTGGTATTGAATAAACTAAAAATCCAATCACCATATACCCACATTAAAAATTACTGTTTTAGTTCTATTCTAGTGCTTCGTTCTTTTAGCCTGCCACAAGTTATATAAAATCAAACATTTTTAACTCAACATGCAAGGAAATTAAAGTGCATCAAACAACAGTTACACGATAATCTGTAAACAGAAATTCTGGGAAAGTAATTGCGTAGGAATAGATAAATAGTTAAAGGGGGGAGAGAGTAGAATGCCTTGTCTCCAGCGTTGTAAAAGCAAATTGAAGAAAGGGCCCTTTTGGAACCCAAATTCAAGTGGTGCGGGAGAAAGGGGTTTCTGTGGAGAAATGCGTGGCTTTGTTTTGAGATGGTTTTGAAGGAAGAACAAAGCTTGCGGGAACCGAAGATGGTGGAAGGTGATGGTGAAAACAGAGAAGAAGCAATTAACATTGAATTTGAAAGCATTATGTGAGGTAAAGCCTTTGGAAGTTGGATTCGAAAAAGAAGAACTTTGAATGTTAATCCTTTTGATGATTTTGCCCACAAGCAGAGCAGAGGGCAGAGCAGGGCAGCGGATAAGACTCGTCACCACACTTCCAGTTTCATTACTTGAACTGCTTCAAATGTTTTTGGCTGAAATGATGTTTCAAATTTCTATTGGTTTACTATTTTTTTCTTCTTAGATAAAACAGTTTTGTGCAAGTATACGACTTTTTATATTGTAAACTAATTAAAATATATTTAAAATAGGTATTGTAAAAATTATCGGTTAATGAATCTCATATTATCTTATAAATAAATAAATGAAGTATGGGGTAATTGTTTTTTTTTTCAAAAATTAAAATTATATTATAAATATAATAATTGAATTCAAAAAATAATTATAATTAATTATTAAAAAATTTAATTATTAAATTAACACACAAATTAAGAAAATATTTTTAGAATCACTTAATATATTATTACAAATTATCATATCTTAAAATGTATTTTTATTTCTTTTTAAAATAATCAAAATAAAAAGAAATATCAATTTAATTCTCAGTAGGAATCATATTTAAATTCAATTATATAAATAGCAGAAATTTGGTGTATATTAATTTATACACATTATAACGATTAAAGATATATTTATAAATTATTGTATTATAATCTTAAATATTAGTATAAAATATATTATACGTTAGGACCCACAAAAATTAAATTAAAACAGGAAACTACCTATGTAAATATATAAATATTTCAAAAGAATAATATTTTTTATATAAAGATTTATATATATATATATATATATATATATATATATATATATAATATTTAGAATATAAAATTTAATTTTATTCTTCTTTAACAACTCAATATTAAACTAACCATCTATACATTATGTGTTCACGTGTAAACAAAATAATCATAACATTTGAGATCAAATATACGATGCAAATTAGAATAAATCAGTGACAAAAAATTTAAATCATATATATCACTTCGTCATCATATTTTTTTCAAAAATAATTATATAATATAAAACAATTAAACAAGGGATCAAGTATTTGACTCTCATATTCTTAACATTTAAATTATATATTTCATGTTATCATATATTTACATAAATGTTCATATAGGTTATATATTTTATGATAAAGGTTATTATTTTTGGAAGACTAGGTTGAATTGGATTCAAAAATCTACTCATATCATAGATATATGGTTTAAATATATTCTTTCATTTGACAAGATAATTCTTGTAAATTATTATATAAAATTACAATCGTTTGACAAGATATCACCTAATCCAAATATAATTATTCTACCCTAACATTTTACACACCTCATTACTTTAAATTAACTCATTCAATTATAATTTAAAATATAATATCAATAATAAATTCACAATCAAATATATGTAAATTAAACAAAATGAATTAGACATCATTCCAAGTCCAAATCTTCTATCTTAAAAGAAATTTACTATTACTTTATATTATCTTAATTTCACAATCATTAATTCCAAAACTCCAAAAACGTCTAAACCCACCAAAGGTTAGATTATGCTTAAAAAAACTTCAATTAATAAATCGTAGATATTATAATACTCTTACACTAATCAAAATTTATCTTGACAAAACTCTCTCTCACACACACACACTATATATATATATATATATATATGTATATATATATATATATATATATATATATATATATATATATATATATATATATAACAAACTCAAAAATAAAGTTTGTTCGTGTCTACATCGACTTTTCCAATATACTCGAAATAAAGTTTGTTCGTGTCTACTGTCAGCTTTTCCAATATACATATATATATATATATATATATATATATATATATATATATATATATATATAGTTTGTTTGTATCTCTGTCAGCTTTTCTAATATATATATTACATAATTTTCGAGGATCTCATAAACTAGCAAAAAAACTCTTAAAAGAGTAAATAAACTCAGGACAATAGTTGAACAAGAAGAAAATAAAGAAGAGAAGATGAGAGAGGTGTGTATAAAAGAGTGTGAAGTGGTCTCCATTTATAGGTGTAGATTAGACCCAAAACCCTACAGATCACGTTCTAAGTTTTGCAATACCCCTTATTTTACAACATATATATATATATATATATATATATATATATATATATATATATATATATATATATATATATGTTAAGTGGTAAAAGTTAATGTAATTATGCTCTTAATTGTTATGTAACCACTTAAATATTATTGATTTTAATATATTTTTCTCCCAATGTAGGATGAATTGGTAGAATATATTGATACAAGAGAAAAGATCATAATTGTGAAGATAATTGAAGAAAAAGTGAAAGAAAGAAGAAGATTTTCAACTGGAAATTCGCTCGAGCGCCATCTATGCTCGCTTGAGCAAATATACGTTAAAGCTCTCGGGAGTTCACTCGCTCAAGTGCCTTCCATTATGGCGCCATTGTCAAGGAACGGTGTGTTAGGATCGAGCGCTTACCACTAGGCCAAAAGCTATAGCCATTAGTCAGAGCGCAACTCTTTTTACTTTAACAACCCAAGCGCCACGATTCAATTGTGACTCGGCCCACCTGACCTTCATCACAGGACAATTGATGCTACCTGCAACAATCTCCCCCTCAGCAATTGTCCTACAAGGTATCCCACTCTTGGATTGTGACTTGGCCCACCCGGCCTCTGCCACGGGACAATTGTGCAACCTGCAACAACCTCCCCCTCAACAATTGCCCACCAGGAATCGAACTCGTGACCTTGGCTCTGATACCAATTGTTAGGATCGAGCGTTTACCACTAGGCCAAAAGCTATAGCCATTAGTCAGAGCGCAACTCTTTTTACTTAAGAGTAACAGCCCAAGCGCCACGATTCGATTGTGACTCGGCCCACCCGGCCTCTGCCACAGGACAATTGATGCTACCTGCAACAATCTCCCCCTCAGCAATTGTCCTACGAGGAATCCCACTTGGATTGTGACTTGGCCCATCTAGCCTACGCCACCGATTGTGACTTGGCCCACCTGGCCTGCGCCACGGGACAATTGTGCAACCTGCAACAATCTCCCCCTTAACTATTGCTCAACAGGAATCGAACTCGTGACCTTGGCTCGATACCAATTGTTAGGATCGAGCGCTTACCACTAGGCCAAAAGCTATAGCCATTAGTCGGAGCGCAACTCTTTTTACTTTAACAGCCTAAGCGCCACGATTCAATTGTGACTCGGCCCACCTGACCTTCGTCACAGGACAATTGATGCTACCTGCAACACGGTGTTCTTAGGAAAGTCTTTATCTAACTTATTATTTATTTATTTTTATTATTCTTATTGTTATCTTGTGCTAATTCTTGTTTAAGTTGCTCTTTGATTTATGCTTTTAAGAGGACAAATATCTACAGATCAGTTAGAATTTGATCCTGAGATTGAAACCGGGGTAGAGGAAGAAGAGAAACTCAAGAACAAGCAACAGGATAATTTGTTAATCCTTCTCCTACACTCAACTTACTAGATCTAATCATAGAAGACATGGCGGAGGAAGGAGCAAATCCAAATCCACCTAGAAGAACACTCAGAGACTATGTTATGCAGCAAGGTCCGAGACACTTCTCCAGCATTGCAATATCAGCCAACCAAACATTGGAGATGAAGCCAACTTTCTTAAGCTTGATTAGTGTTCATTAATTCACTAGAATGGATCACGAAGATCCTTACATCCACTTGTCTACTTTTTATGAGTTGATTGGTACCATGGGATTTAGAGAAGCAGATATTAAATTTGCATACTTGAGATTATTTCCTTTTTCTTTGGCTGGCAGGGCAAAGGAGTGGCTGAAGGCATATCCTAATCAGAGTTTGACTAACTGGGGTAATGTAGAAGAGAAGTTCTTAAACAGATTTTTTTCCATCATCCCAATACATCAAGGAAAAGTTTGACATCTCTACTTTCAGAAAAGGAGCAGATGAACCTTTTTGTGAAGCATGAGAGAAATTTAAATAACTGTTGAGAAGATGTCAAAATCATGGATTTGAAGACATTGCTTAGTTGATTATATTCTATATTGGTCTGCAACCTGATACAAAGATGCTATTAGATGCTGCAGCAGGAGAATCTATGCTGGATGTAGACATCGAACATGCCACAAGAATTATTGATGCACTAGCCTCTACAGACCAACATGCCCAACATGATAGACATCCAGTTCAGAGGAAATGAGTACTTGAACTTAGCACCTCAGATGCTCTCTTAGCCCAAAATAAACTTATAACCCAACATATTAAAGCATTGAACCAAAAAATAGAGAAACTCCCTCAACAAATACATGAAGTAAATCCACTCTTAACCAACAGATGGGTTGTGACTTTTGTGGAGGTGATCATCCAAATAGACAATGATCTTACCAAGGCAACCTACAACAAGAAGAAACTAATTATATGGGTACTCAAGGTAGTAGTGGTCAAGGCAGACAAGGTAATTTCCCTAGTTCCAACAACTATCAGAATAATTTTTCACAAAAATGGAGAGAGAATCAAAATCAAAATCAAAATCAGAACTTTGGGTGGAAACAGGGTGCTAGTTTATCCAATAGACCATCTCTATATCAACAGTCATATCAGCAACCTCCATATCAACATCAGCAGCAATGTTATCCTCTAGTGCATGATAGAATGAGCAAATTGGAGGACACTTTAGAAGAATTCATGCAAGCTACTTTGTCTAGTCAGAAAAATACCGATGTTTCATTCAGAAATTTAGAGACCCAGATGGGTCAATTGTCTAAACAACTATCTGAGCAGCAAGAAGGACAATTTTCAGCTAACACACAAATCAATCCAAAGAAGCATTGTAAGTCAATAACTACGAGGAGTGGTAAGGTCATAGGAAAATGGATTGGTGACAACCTGGTTGTAGAGAAGGAAGTCTTACAAGAAAAAGAGGATAAAGAGAAA